ATTATTGAAACAGAGGGTTAGGGAGGGTGGGAGAAGAAAATCTTTCACAAACGAACTTAAGCCAAATGGCAACGGATATGAACAAGTTCGCATTTGCACGGACCTAGTCAATCCACTCAAGGTCCGATCGATGTTCAAACGAAAGCTAAGAGTTGTCACTTCGCACACAAGTGTGCTACACTACACACCAACATCCTTCAAGCGCTCTTGGACAGGAGGATAGGAGGGGGTTAGGGGTTTCGGGGTTTCGGGGATTGGAGGTTTAGGGGTGTAGGGGCTTGAGGGTCTGGGAGTTTGGGGCTTCTCATATAACCTACCCACCACAGTATTCTCCCTTATAGGCAAACCGCGAAACACTTATAGGCCACTGATAGGAAAGCTCCGAAGCCCTCGAACCTGGAAACTCGCTCTGAGGGCGCTAAGAGTGCTTCTGACGAAAGACGCGGAGGATTCCACAACATGAAAGATAGTTGGTTTGCTGGCATGTGGCCCCTCATTTTCAGAACCTCTCATGTAGCTGAACCCACTAAAGACTGAACCCTAGAAGCCCTCAACCTAAACCCTTTGAACACTCTAAGAACCCTAAACCCTAAACCCTAAACCCTTTGAACACTCTAAGAACTCTCGAGCCTGGCTTTTTTAGCAGCCCTAACCCCGCTGGCCGAGAACCCTGCCAGCGGCTCACTGTCGGCAGATTCACGCACTCACCTTGAATAACAGCATTCATAGTCTTAGGGTTTAGGGTTTAGGGTTTAGGGTTTAACTAAGAAGATCAATAGCAAAAAAGCACTATAAACTGACAGCAATAACAATAATCACGATGATAACACTATCAACGCCACGGCCTGGTGTCCTTCGACAGGGCTTTGGGAGATACTACTATGGTATAAGTATAACACGCAAACCAAGGAATAGTCTTGGTAAGTCTTGCTTCGCCCTACTCGAACATGCTTGCTTCAAAAACCACTATTGGAGGGTTTCGGGCGCTATAATTATGGTATGATTCTACCCTAGACCCTAAACCCTAAACCCTAAACCCTACACCCACCCACCCACCCACCCACCCACCCACCCACCCACCCACCCACCCCTCCCGAACAACAAATCAAGACCAAGATCCCTCGTTCGGGGACCCACCCCAGGGGCCGAACAAAAGGTGGCCAAAGGAAGAGTGTGGTTGCAAGGATTACAGCTTCTAGGATTGTAGGTTGTAGGGCTTAGAGTGTTGGGTATAGGCTTAGGGATTCAATATCTCGAATAGAAAAGCCTTGCTTTCGAGAACAACGGGTCCGCTTTGAACGATGCAGGACAACTCGCAGATTTTTGCACCCGCAGCTTTAGGAAGTTGTGAGCAGGATGAACAAGATGGGCTGGTAACTCCTGGACCTTATCTTCTTGAGTCGAGCGGCCCCCGACGCGTGGGGCGTTGATCTGCTGAAAGGTGTACCTGCGCGGATGGAGAGGCCACGATGTAGCAATGTGACGCCAACTTAGCGCTTCATGAGGGAAACTTTCAGTACTACAGCATGACAAGAAACATAACTTAGGAAATGCTCCTTGGCAAGAGTGCGTTGTGTAATCTCTCTGGGTACCGATAGCCTCCCACAGGCTTCCTCGCGGTCTCACTTGCTTTCTGGAAATGTCGAAGATCCCCTGCTATCCTAGCTCCCAAACTCTTAATACCCTTAACCCTCAAACCCCAAACCCCAAACCCCTAAGCCCTAAACCCCGAAACCTTTACAAAGTTGAACTTCTGCAGCAAGAACAGCGCACATTGTGACCAGAGCCCAATCGAACACTCTCTAACAACTGAACCGTACGCCTCAAAGCTAAGCCAAAACTCTAAAGCCAAAATCATGAAGCCTGGACCCTAAACCCCAAAAACTCCAAAAAAAGACAAAATCCGCTAAACCCTGAACCCCGGACCTTTAAACCCTCAGCCATGAAGCCCAAAAACTGGGAGAAGCTTTCTGCTCTGAGCCGAAGCGAAGGCACCCGCATCTGCAAAAGCCCGCTTAGGGTTTAGGGTTTACGGCTACGGGTTTAGGGTATAGGGTAAAGGTGTTGTATGGGTTTTTTGGTGCTAGGGTTTTCGTATGCACGGTTGTAGATTTCAGGTTTGTTGGCTGTGAGGCGAGAGTCAGAGAATACTGCCACCACTACTTCTGCTACTGCTCCTCCAGCTCTCCCTGCTCCTTCTGCCGCCACTGCTCCCGCTGCTGCTACTGCCGCTGTTGCTGCTACTGCTACTGCTACCTCTACCCTCCAGACCCCCGCAGGCCCTGCACCAAAGGAGCTGCTCCGGCGCACGCACAAATGCAAATGATCACGACGCCATAAACAAGGCCTGCGGCGAAAAGGCCGTGATTTCAAAGCTGCAATTGAAGGTTAGGGTGCTAAGGTTGCAGCTTTTAGTTTTAGGGTTTAGGAGTTTAGGGTTTAGGGTCCGGCAGTGTTGAGGGTTCTGCTGGAGTCACTAGGGCTGGGCTTTTTGGGGCTGGGGTTTGGGGTTGGGGCTTCCCCACTCTGGCTCTGCTGTATGGATCTGCACATGGAAACGTGGTACAGCTTTTGGGAAGCCGTTCCACTGCAATGCTGCAAGTACCTATGCTCTACGACAGCCCATAACGCCTGTCCCAACATAGCCATTAAGGCGCTTTGGCTTTCCTCTGTTGCTTCTGACCTCCGCTTCAGAAATGTATTCTCCTCTTTCAAGCGGACCTTTGGAACAGCCAGAGCCATCAGCGAACCTGAAAGATCTCATAAGCGGGCCTCTCATACCATCCCGTCCGAAAAACATAGAACCCCGAAACACTACCTAAGCCCAAAACCCTAAAGATCCGATCATCTTCAGGAGGGTGTTATGGAGTTTACCCTAAACCCTAAACCCTAAACCCTAAACCCCAAACCCTAAACCCTAAACTCTGAACCCTAAATCCTGCAAGCTCGAAACCTCAGCCCGAACTCCCCCCAAAGACCCTAAACCCTCAACGCCCCAAGCCCTAGTCCCTTCAAGGCCCGAGGCTCAGAAGTCTCAAACCACCCTATGGGTTTAGGGTTTAGGGTGTAGGGTTTAGGGTTTAGGGTTTAGGGTTTAGGGTTTAGGGTTTAGGGTGTAGGGTTTAGGGTTAGACTTCTCCTTCGAGCCCGGAACTGAGACTCAACACCTCAAACCCCCGACAGAACCCCCCAAAATCTAATGCCTGAACCCTAGGCCCTATATATCGTAAATCCGAAACGTCCACACACCCTAAACCGAAGACGCCGAGGCCTGCGATAAGATCGCTCTGATCATCAAAGCCCAGAAGGCGATGGCCCCAGCCGATGTCGAGATCTAAGAGCTGCACCAACCTTTCGTGACAGATCTAGGTTTCGGGTTGACCATTAACCCTAAACCCTAAACCCTAAACCCTAAATCCTAAATCCTAAAACCTAAACCCTAGGGTTTCGGGTTTAGGGTTTAGATCTAGGGGACTTTAAGGGTTGGAGGTTGTAGGGTTTAGTGTTTGGGGTTTAGGCTGTTTAAGGCATGTTGTTTCTTCTCTCTTTCTATCTCTCTCTCTCTCTCTCTCTCGCTCTCGCTATATGTGCATATCTATATCTATATTTATATCTATATCTAAAACTATATGTATATTTATATTGATATATGTATATATTTACTTGCTTGTTTTATGTATTTATATATGCTTGTTTATTGATATCTGGATCTGGCTCCCGATCCAGATCTATATCTCTATTGTACCTATGCCTATATCTGTATATTATTCACACATCTGCATCTAGACCTATATCTACAAGCATCATACCTGTATCTACATCTATATCTGTACCTATATCTGCATCTATATCTATAGTTGCCTTCTCCATTGCTCGTCTTGGGTTGTTGTTTTGCGTATTTTCTTGGAGGGGGGGGGTAATATGTATCTGCATAAATAAACAGATCTCTCTCTCTCTCTCTCTCGCGCTCTTTCTTTCTATGGGCGTCTGTGACACTGGGTCTGTAGTGGGTCCTGGTCTGTAACCACGTACATATACATACATACATACATACATACATACATACATACATACATACATACATACATACATACATACATAGATATAGACATGTCTATATCTATGCATCTATAACTATATATGCGTGCATGTATGTATACAGACTCTAGGTCATAGGTAAACCTTTAAGTATACATACGTATACCCGCACGTATACATACACGTCGGCACAGACATTCTAAACACACAGTAACATGTAAACGCAAACACAGACAATTAACCATATAAACAGACATATCAATAAATACGCATATGAGCACATGAACTCCTGAATGCATGACCATGCAGACATTTCAACATCAAAACATAGAAACACATGTACAGAAACATAGCACACGGACACACATGCACCCACAAACACACACAGAGACACATATGCATTCAGACACACATAGACACACACAGAGACATACACACATGCATACAGACGTACGTGCACACATGCATACACAGAGGTTAACTTGTATGCTTCGGCATAATGTACATGTGTCTACACAACAGATAGGTAGGTAGGTGGTACATGGATAGAGACACGCATGTGTATGATGCGTGTTTGTATGTCTGTTTGGAAACTGCCAAGGGTTAACAACCAGAGGAACTGCTGCAGCACAGCAGCTCTCTGACCACGGCTATGAACTTGCGGGCTTACTGCTGCACTCAACTCCAAACCGAAAAAGCCCTAAACCCAAAAACCGGAAACGCCCTAAACTCAAAAACCTAAAAAAGCCCTAAACCCAAAAACCGAAAAAGCCCTAAACCCAAAATACTCAATTCCAAAACCAGCATCGCCTAGAGAAGCCCTAGGCGCCGAAGCACCCCCTTGCACTCTGTGCTGTGCAGCCAACACCAAGCTACAAAGCTACACATAGGCCCCATAGTAGTTCCTTTTCGGGATTAATTTATAGGATTCTAAATATGAACCCCAAAAAGGAACTACTATGGGGCCTATGGGTACACACAATAGCTGGGCTTTTTTCGTCCGCGGCCCTGCGTCGCCCTGGTGTCACTAGTGACTTGAAATGAGGTTAAGGGCTTTTGCCATCGGGTCGCCCACTCTAACCCTAAACCCTAAACCCTAAACCCTAAACCTAGTCGGGGATGAGCCTGTGAGGTTCGTACTCGCGACCGGCATGGAGTCTCAAAGTCGAGGACCACAAAATCGAGTCTCCCCCCATATGGGTAATTATCTAAATTAGGGTTCCTTCTGGGCCTTTTTGCAAGGGTGCCGTACTATGTTGGGGACCTAAAAAGGGACCCTAATTTGGAGAACTACCCATATGCAGTTCGGCAACACCCTAAGCTGGCCTTAGACCTAGGGGTTCAGGATGTTGGAATCGTGTACATTGCTAAGAGTATTTATATACTACAGTGAGTCATAACCGTAATCACTTTCACATCTATTGAACACCCCCGTAATAATCCACACACTTTCCAGTAAATCCCCTGAAATATCATCCCCGCCATTTAGATCCCATTTTGGATTAGGGGTGTAAGAGCAGAGGCAGGAGCAAGAGCAAAAGCAAGAGCAGAAGCCAGAGCAAGAGCCAGAGCCGGAGCAGGAGCAAAGCAGGAGCAACAGCAAGAGCAGCAAGAGCCGCAGCAAGAGCAGGAGACGAAGCAACAGCGAGAACAAGAGCCCCGGCAGGAGC